TTTGCCCCGATCAGTAGACGTCATGAACACCGAATTCTTTGAAGAGTCCACCAGTCAAGACGACTAGAAGGACCTTTCAGTGAAGCCAACCAACACATTCCGTAATGGTCGATCACTATGTCAAAAATCTGGCGGTACAAATACTAGAGGCAAAACTTGCTTAACGCACATACAATAACGAGGCACACCCTTTTGGTAATAGAGCAAGTTATTTCTGTCTTGGTGAGGGCACAGATGGCGCAAGTGACGCAGCATACTCCGCAAACTGGGTTTGCATTGAGTGAACATTGCACTAAGGCGGTGCCACTAGCATATATGTGTGCTTCGGCTGGTGCAGTCGAGTCGTAATGGTGGAGGATGGGCAGTGAAGTAAGTAGTTGTCGCAGTGTAGTGAAGGAGTCGTCACAGGCTTGCATCCAATTCGAAAGATCTGCAGGGCCATCAAGTAGTTTGGTGAGCAGGGCAAAGATTGAAGCAAAGTTCCGGACAGAGTGATGAAAATACGAGCACAGGCCCACAAAGCTCTTTGTGGTTCTTTAGGTGTGGTTGTCTTCAGTAATTCAGCAACAGCGCGATGTTTGCCAGGGGTCAGAAGGATGCCGTCTTTTAAAACAACATGCCCGAGTATGGTGAGTTGCTGAACCCCGAAGTGATATTTCTTTAAGTTAAGCTGTAAACTACCATTGGTAAGTACAACCAGGAGAGACGAGGACTACAAGAAGGCTTGATGACTGCAGTTTGTAACATGCTATCATCTTGCTCTGCAATTATGCAACTCTCCACTGGTGATACATGATAGGGCACTGGCACAAACGCCTATTTGTCTCAGGGTCAGTATTGTGAATGGTGATTGTTTGACCTTGTGTCAGCTCAAGCAGTTGAACCAACTTCTGAATTCATGCAGAAGGATAAGCAGCAGCTGCATTTGAGCCCGAGTGAGATGGCTGTTGTTGGAACGGTGAAGCACATTTCAGGACACACTGTTCAAAGCAAGCTAAGGAGTCAATGCATTCAGCTCCCTTACACGTGCACAAATTTTTTCTACACCAGGCAATGCTGGTATATACAATTTTTTTTTGCAAGCCACGAGCCTCAAAGAATGTATGTGTATTGTATCAATATGGCCGGTATGAGAGTTTGTAAGCTTGGGCGGATAATTTAAAGTGGCGGTCAGCACCAGTGCGCTAATTCGAAAACTTTGGGTGCAGTGTACCGATTCCCCATCTCCATTTCACATCAGAACAGTGGAAACGGCAGCCCTTAAAGGCTAACTCCGGCAATTTTTACACCATGTCAAGGTTATGGTGTTCCTATGTTCTGAGACACTCTTGTTACGAGCCCAATAGCTGAAATGCTCAGCGAACTTGAAAATAATTTTTAATAAGCAAAAAATGTGCAAAACCGAAACCCAACCGAGTGCCTTGTCTGCATATGACGTACTATTTGGTAAAGCCAGGGGCCGTATACTGGTTCCGCCGGCGCAGAGTATAAAAACTGTGAAAGCCAGTCCAGCGAAGCACTGGCCAAACACCACTGAGGAAGGAGAAAGCATTCCCATGCTATACCCGTATTAAGCACTGCCTTGTGGAAAGCACAATAAACGCTGCAGCGGCCAAGTAGCGATGCCATCGGCTGCCTCACTTCCATTGACATGCCAAACATGACGTCACATAGACAGTGTTGCCAATAATTCTGGCAAGTGAGGTGATCTTTTCAAGGCAATCTTTAAAGTTCATTTGTAAATTATCAGTGCATCACTCGAACCTGTGATTTCGCATAAAGGACTAAAATGTTCGAAGGAACATACCCAGCAAACTTCATTGAGATTCATCGACCTCGAAAAATCGCCGGAGTTGGCCTTTAAGAGCCACTAAGCAATATACTGCAGCGGTACTACTAAGCGGCAGCTGAAATACCCCAGCGCCGATACTTCCAGCACGAAAAATTAAACAGTAAAAAAAAGTCTTGGTGATCAGCTGAAATGTGCGCCTGCAAAAAAAAAGAAAGACATGCTTCACTGCAGCACAACGGTGATGCATGGGCAGCATGTCGCATGCTTCGTGCAACGTCATTGCATCACGATTTACCCATTCTTTTTGGAAATATAAAGAAATTAATAAGGCACAGCTTGGCGGAATTTGCGATCTATGAGAACCTCTGAGTGCCAGTTGCTCCAGCTATTTGCGCATTTGTACTGTAGGCAGAGTTCTTGCCTGCTACGCCTACATGGAAACTCGGTCTGAAAGCTTCAATGATCAAGTTTTCCAGCCAGAAACTCGCGAATTTTGTCACACTGCCTATTATTGAATCCTCTATTGCACTAAAAACAATAGGCGAATGATCGCATGACCTAGGGATCATAAAACCGATTATAATTAATCGATTAAAGATCAGCAATTAATCAATTATTCATAATCATTTTTTACTTCTCAATTAATCGAAATAATTTATTAACCTATTCGATTAATCGACTACAGCACCCCACACTCCCGCTCCCACCTCGGCCCTTGGTCGCAGCACATGACTGCGAGGCGCGCTATCCTTTAACACAGATGCCATGCACGTCACCTTCTTTCACTGCTTTCCCTACAATGCATATTTCTGCGCTAGCAGAACTAGCCCGGAGATGGCGGCGGCCATAGCCCATAGAGAAAGATATGAACTTGCCCTGATCTTCGTCGCGTACGCCTGGAACGGTGTCCAACTCCGAGCACTCCACAACGCTTCAAGCCTTGGCAGGTGGCGGCTCCACCCCATCGAGGCAGAAATGAACTTGCCCGCTTCTCCCCGGCTCACAGTCTACTGTTGCTAATGTTGCTAGTGCCTTCACCTTCTCTCCCTTAAGCTGGTTGAGCGTCGCCTGAGTATACGTGAGGCTTGTGTTGCTTGCGTGTTATATTGTATAATTATTACACTTTGGTGGTTGTACTGCTACCTTTGGGATGTCATAATACTGGGCAATCGGAAGAGGAGCGAAGTGTGGTCGTTGTTTGCTGAAGATGAGAAAGCGAAGACTGCAAGGTGTAATAAATGTGACAAGCACTTCTGGAAGCCAGCGACGTAGACTCTAAGATATCACCAGCTGCACGTCCACTCTATTCAGGTGCCAAAGATCCATCTCCCAAAGAAAGGTGGTAACGACGAAGGTGACAATATTGAAGAACCCTATCCGGACACCAATCCGCCTCTTCAGGTAAGTTATCCGTATCTCGCAGCCAACAGCCATCCATTTTTGTATAGCCATCTTTGTATAAGTTATTTTTGAAATCGTCAGCTTTTTTATTGGCACTAGTATGCCCTTCCACATAAGTTAAATAAACAGGGAGAGTTCAGTTTCCTGTACAAACGTCAGGAGCAGTCGATGCAAAGGACCATGCATCCAGCACATTAAGTCACGTGATTGACCGGAGTGGTTGTCAAGGCTGTGTAGATTTCCCTCGCAAAAAATTACTTGATTTTCCTCGCACCCACCACCATCCGTGGTGGGCGCGAGGAAAATCAAGTAATTTTTTGCTTTAAGAAGACATGCTTAAAATGATGGATAGTTGGGAATTCATATTCACTCAAAAAGCCGGGAGAACGCTCACCCCCCTCCCCCATCCTACCACACACACACCAAAATGCGAAATGTGACATTTTTTACACCATCACGTCAGTCCACAATTATAGTATTATGTAGGGCTTCCACAATATCTGGACACAAGGAACCCGTAATTGACACTTTCGAAAGTTGGAATTTCGATCGACAGCACCTCCGATAAAAAGATTTGGGTCCATATGAAACACAAATGATGCCTCTCAAACAAAGAGATATCAGTTTTAAAGCGCCCACAAAAAATGTTGATTAATCGATAAAACCATTTCATGGAAAGCAATTATTCAATTAAAGACTAAATCTATTAATGGTTAATGATTAATCGATTAAAAATTTTAATCGACCATTCCTAGCCGCACCATGACGTGCTGATGCAGTGAAGAGCAGGTGACACGCTGTCTGCGTGTCATTACCGAGTTACAGTGAAGATGTCTTATTTTTCGCAGGCACGGATTTCAGATATTAGAACGTTTATTATTATTTTTCTTTGCGATTGCAGCAGCGAGGCCTGGCGTTCCCCCTTCTTTGAGGCAAAACTGTGACCTAGTACTGCTGGAAACATAACCCTTAAAGCCGCAAAACTGGCCAGCACAGCAAATGACCAGCCCTGATTGTACTTTGAGTAATATCAAGTTCCTCGCATCCCACTTTTTGTATGTTCTTTTAATTTGAAAACCCCCTTAATTCAAAGATTTTTCACTGTCCCAGAGAATTTGAATTAACGATGTTTTACCGTACTTCTGTCATACAGCCGTCATGTCGAGATAACGGCAATTGTAATGAAGTGCCATCTGCTAAAGCTCATTTGTCTAGCAGTGCCCAGAGCTGCCACCCTTGCTGGCATAAGCACTACACAGCTTACTGCTTCTCATCATTGCTGGCAACTTCAATGTGGAATGTGCAAAACACGAGCAGGCCTGGATCACACAATACATAAAAGACGCACCTCCCAAGATTTTGTGCCCACGAAGAGGAATAGAGGTGTGATTGACCACTTTGTTGTGCTGGTGTTGGCTGAACAATTTTCAGGCAACTAAATTGTTTGTCATAGGCCCCTCATCGCAACATTAACGAAGGATTATAGCAACAACTATACTCCTGCTAATGGAGCTGACATTTAACAGTGATTTGGCTCAAGTTAAGGAGGTGTCAACAGCCAACTGGACGAATATTCATGACCCTTCGACACATGCATGCCACAGATAAGTCACAGATCTACGGGTATTCACGATGTATGCCCACACAATCATCATCTTGTGCTAACGAAACATTTCTGCCTACCACAGTTCATGCTGGTAATGCGTAGCTAACGTCCTTTCATCTGCATGCTTTGCATAACGTCGATTCCCAACGTACATGGAATCTACCAATTTTTTTTACACTGAATGTGCCATGACAGGCTCACCTTAGTGTAGACAGGCCCAGGTGCAATGCAGTTGAAGCGCATACCGTACTTTGCCCACTCTGCTGCCAGTGACCTGATAAAAAAGTAAGGAAGAAAAAATTATACATCCAGTTTGATCAAGCAACACAGCATCGAAGTACCCTTCGTGGCATTGTTAATCAGAACTAACAGACTGCCAAAAGTGTTAAAAAAAAGAAAACGCAGAGATTACTTTGAAGTACACCCAAATTTTCTGTCAATGTGTCAAAGTGAAAAAAAGTACTTGTGAATGTATAAGTACCCAAGCATGATACATTTACTGAAAAAAAAAATTGATCTACCAGATGATTGAACATCTAAAAATTGAATTTTTTTTTTATCAAACTGCCTCTCCCTTCTCGCTGTGTGTGCCTGCTCAAAACACAAATAATGAATTAGAGAACAGTTACAGGATTAGTTTTGCTAGAGCAGAGAGTTAGCTTGCCCCGGTCTCAAAAGGAAAGCAAAGAGCCTTGATTGTGGCTCCGCCAAAGCCACAAGTAAGTGAACAGTAAAACAGCACCACAGCTGTTACATTCTTTAACTGGTATAGAGCATTACGGTAAAAAAAAAATGGCCAAGCTGCCACCGACACAAGAGGACAGAGCGCTCTATCCTCTGGAGTAGGTCTGCTCGGCCAGTTCTTCTTTACCGTAATGCACTATGCCAGTTCAAGTACAACAAACCAACTCGTACAAACTTCAACACTTGTAGCTGCCACGTTACCACGATGGGTGTAAGCAATGACGTAGGAATGAAGCTGACTCACATCATGAGAGTTTCGACACCACTCTTGGCGGCTGCACTTGGCGCACAATATCCGGTGCCGTGGTTAGTGTAGGTTGCAGAGATAGCCAGGAAGTTTGCTCCTGAAGGAAAAGAAATTTAGGGCACTTAGAGAAAAAGTTAGAGAAATCCCACTTTGTGAAAGTGGGTAAGCACTCAAAAGAGCACTCCCGTCTTCGTTGTTTTTCTTGCTGTTCTTCGTAAGCACACTGCTCTTTGGGCGTTTTCACAATGTGCAGTCTACCCGGACGTGACATGCGCAACCATGCCCATTGAGCACCGACTTGATTGACAAGGCGAAACACATACAAAACACATACTGCTAGCTTCACCACAGGTTTCTGCTTCTCCCATGGTGCTGCATCACCCCATAAATTGGTGTGCCTTCTAGCTAACGAGGATGATGATGTGACTTCACGTAGTAATGTCACGATGACGTCACAAAGTTTGGTGATCTGTGATGCCATGATGAGATCAAATGATGATGCCATTACGTGACATCATCACTCACTTGGCGATGGTCGCATCAGGAATTGGTTTACTCCGGACGATATAATTATTACCCAAGAGGGCATGGCTAAAGACTAACACTGCGAGACCGGGCCGTGCCACCTATAGAGCAGCAGCATACGGAACTACAATCTACATTTACAGAACATAAAGCACACATAAAAATCAATCAGTAGACTAATTTTATACTGATGACATGTACAAAGCACGAAAATCAAACGCAGTGAACAAACATTAAAAAAAAAGGTTGATTTCTCTGATATAGGAATCGGCATAACACATGAAAGTGAAACGTGTCTTCAGAAAAGTAGTTGAATGTTTACTGCACATTGATTTATAATGTATATACAGCCGACTCTCATTAATTCAAACTCAAAGAAACTTTTGAATTTTGTTTGAATTATCAAGAAGTTTGAATTATCGGAAGTTCTCAGATATACGAATCCAGGTGAGTAGACACCACACATTATAATTAGGCATCGATTTTATCAGATTTAAAAGCTTTTTAAGCATTCTTAAACCCTAACAGCACGCAATAAACAGAAACCAAAGGTATAGGTTCCACAAGTTTACAGGCCATATACTGCTGATGAGACCATTTGAAGAAATCGCAAATTGGCAACTGCTTCTTTGCTATATGATTGATGTGTGGGATTTAACGTCCCAAAACCACCATATGATTATGAGAGACGCCGTAGTGGAGGACTCCGGAAATTTTGACCACCTGGGGTTCTTTAACGTGCACCCAAATCTGAGCACACGGGACTACGACATTTCCGCCTCCATCGGAAATGCAGCCGCCGCAGCCGGGATTTGAACCCGCGACGTGCGGGTCAGCAGCCGAGTACCTTAGCCACTAGACCACTGCGGCGGGGCCTTCTTTGCTATATGTGCCTTCAGCACAAAGCTCTTTATACCAGTTGAGAAGCATCACGGTTTGGCATGCATTTGCTTCATTTCAAACATTTTTTTGCAAAGCCTCTTTTCTTGAGAACCAGAGGTGCTTATTTTTCTATTTTTAGACTGTTAAGATTATATAAGCATGCAATTTTTTGAATAGTATTGGGAAAGCAGCAGATATTTTCGGGTATGAATCCACAAAAACTAAGAATTGACCGAATGATGGAGTTTGACTTAAGAGGCTATTAAATGCATTGAAAGAATAGAGGGCCATCCAAAAAATTGGAGTTTTGTTTGAATTAGCCGAAAGTAGGAATTATCAGAGTCCCAATTATCACGAGTCTACTGTATGTGTTTGATAGCTATAGCACCCTTAGGCGTTGATGCACCCATGTCGACACATGGTAACACTTCTCTATCACTGCAAGCAATGACTTACAACTGATATAAATGTTCCGGAGACATTGAATTGCATGCACCGTAGCATCATGCAAATCACACGTGGACCATAGGCATTTTAAAACCGTGCAAGCGACACCGAACGAGTTTTCACTGAATTGTTTTGTGAAATCACGGTCTGCAGCAGCGAATGGTGAATAATTTGCGAGTTGACGACCGTCCTATCGGTGTGCTTGGCATACAGCATCGCGTCGATGAGCAGGGTCCTGCTCGTGGGTTCCTTCGACGAAGGTACGTACGATCATTTTGGTTTTGCATCGGTGTGTATAGGGCATCTAGCTGGGTTGCCATGCGCTATACTTTGGAAACGCAGGAGGTGGAGTTAGCATCTTGAGCCATGAACACGCAAAGACCTCCTTCTCCTCCCTGGTCTGTCCCTCACTGCACTAAACTCACTTGTGTGACATTCGTCCATCGACGCCATTATCTCTCGGCAAAGCTCAACTCTTTCGTTACCATGCCTCTTCAAATTGATCACCGATGATGGATGCTATTGATAGTAGTTTTTTAATGTTGAATTTGTTTTGCATGCACCTAGCCATTCCTAGTCGTAGTTCAGCCACTGACCTCCCAAATTCAGTTTTAATGTCCCTGATTTGGTAACATAGTAATTTTTGAGTGAACTTTTCATGAAGCAGTGTGTGTGTCTGTGGTTGTGAAGATGCATTTAGCTGATGAACTTGAGAGAAATGCGTGGCACTTCTGGTTATACTGCAGTGAAATCAAGATTCTGTAAGCGAAAGAACCTTAACAAGTCAAATATCAAATGATGACATGAGCGTCGCAGTCTGACAGTGTTAAGCCATAACGATTGCCTTAAATATATGCCAGCTATTTATTAGAGAGCTGTTGTTTGGAGTCTGAGGAAATTTATTCAACAAAATATTATTTGCAAAGGTTCGTCGCATGTAGAATGTGTGGAGGTGCTTCTTTTAGACAGTTTCCAGTAGCTTTCATTTCGCTTTTGTTGTTACATCAGTCACAGGCTCGCATCCTGTGTCACTAGTCACTCCTATGGCGTCATCACGCACACATAGGTGATCACCTGCACCACGGGAAATGCACGCCGCCATAAACTATCTTCCAACCGCACCTGAATAGAGTGACAACGAGCTTTGAGTCCGAACATTGCAGCATCTCAGCTTTAAGCTCTGATGACGACTATGTTCTGCGTCAGCCTGGGACATCCAGAGTCAATCAGGCATTGGTTTCATTTACGACCTCAGGTAGTGTTGTCCGGAACATGAGCGTAGCTGCTGACCTTTGTGCACAAGCTTAGAGCTACTTTGGTTACGTGCGAAGTCCACACATCGGTGGGGCACGATGTGCTGATGCCCGCTGCAGAGCTTCTCCTCACGACAAGAAAGCCACTAGAGCACATCTCTAGCCTGCACTATGGAGCGGCGCAAGACATTTAAAGTCTGTCCACGATTTCGTTCTTTTTTTTTTTTTTTTTTCACTACTATCTGCCCACACAACATAGCACAGCATGAAAGACTTTCAAAGACAAGAATGGGCAGTAATATCCTTGAAAAACCGAGAGTACGCTATCACACACAGCAAAGTGATAAAGCCGACGTACTCACCACAGTGAGGAAAAAAATAGTAATTGCACCGTTACCCAACCATACCCACCCAGACCACACCTGTCAAAGAAATCAGAGGTCCCAGGACTTGCAGAGGAAATTCGGACATTGCAAGGAAGCAGTATTCATTGTCGCAGCTCATCGTTGTCAAAGCTCATCGCTGTCGAAGCTCATTGTGAATGTCATGCTCTATTGTGCCAAGTGAGCCCACATGTTTGCTTGGAGGTTGTAGGGCACCCTACATCAGCGACACTACCCTGGTGTTTACCCTGACACCAGCATCCGTCCGAATGCTGGCATCGAGGCACCGTACCACAGAGCTGAGACTACCCGAGCGTTCTTTGTTGGTGTTCATTAGTGCCATAATGCATCTGTCTTCTCGACTTGTAGACAGTAGCACAGCCCCAACAAACCAAGAGATCGGGAGTATCAGATATATAAGGCACATCTGAAGTACTCTTCCCATATGTGCTAATGGTGCAGTTGGTTAAGCAACCAGTTTTTATCACTGCCGACCGAGTGGTCGTGGGTTCAACTTTCGCGTCTCCCAAATCGCTGTAACTATTTCTTCTAGTTTATTTGTTAATAATATGTCCATGTAAATTTTAACAACATTATATCTGTGACAGAAGTACATCAGTAAAGGTTTGGTAAAGCCCAACATCAAACAGTTTTGTGTTAAAAAAACATCATTGTACAATTTACTAAGTACTTGCAAAGCAGTTCAAAAGCCGAAACACAAACCTACAAAAAAAATACACTTAGATTACACAAAAGGACATGAATAAAAGGCAAGAAAGAACAGCCTTATAGAGCTTGCAAATTACTTGCAACAAGAAACTAATATTTATGCAAAATAGTATCACTAGTGGTTCAGCTTTAGTCCAGTAGTAATGATTCTCTAATTGTTTTCCTAAATGTTTTCTGGGAAATTCTCAAACTGAAGAGGTCCGTAGGATAGTTAAGACATAGTTGTTGAGTAAGCTAGATATTTGCACGGCAAACATTTGTTCCCAATAATTTGTTCTTAAACATGGTTAACTACGTATTCAACCACTACAACATGAACTTACAACATGTCATTTTACACAGTACTATTTACTTATGAAAGAACAGTTGTGTATCTGAAATCACTTCAAAATATTTAGACACAGTTTACACATATATACATCTAAAGTTAGGAACCTTAATAGCTAATAATTTGCAATGTCACCGTTTGGTATTGCCCCTGTGTTCAAACTTTACAACTGCAAGTAACGTGGAGTTTTGAAGTGATTGAAGCGATGGCAAATTAGAATGAGTTGTGTCTGATGAGCCTAGAAGAGAGTAAATTAATTAGAAATATATTATAAAGCGATATATTTTCACACTTGTTTGTAAAAAAATGTCGCAATATATCCCTCTATCTTCTTTTGTTGCTCATAAGTTACTACCAATATGAATGACCGTTCACCTTTTCCCGCCTGAATCAGCCTTTTGCCCACATCCAAAGTCACAATGGCCGTCCCATTGAGCACAATGTCTACAACAGTCTTCCAGGCATTGGTGGACAACATCTCAGTAGGGCTGATGAAGTTTCCCGCTGCATTGTGGACAACTATGTCTGGCAAGCCAAGTTCACCAACGCTCCTATCTACTGCTGCGGCTACAGCAGAAGGGTCTCTGACATCTGCTGCAATGGCCAAGATCTGCAGAACAAGACACGATGACAGCCCAAGTTTTTTTTTTTTTTTTTCGTTAGCGGCAAATCTGTTTATGTAGGTCGCAAAAACTTTGGTCTGTACAATGGGTACAATAGCCATCATCATACTGATCCTGCACATGCTCTGTTCATACTGTTTACTGTAAAGCTCTCTGTGAGCTATCATCAACCTGTGCTTCATCTATGCGGTACAAGAATCGGGCGGACTCCACTATCAAGTACAACAGGTGCCGGCATTACATGAAAACTCTACTTGGCGAAATGGAACATGTGAAGCACATAAAACAGAGAGAAAAAGAAAGAAAAAAAGAAAAATAGACTAAAAAAGAAAAAGAAAATTTCAAAGCACGCACTAAGTTATGTAAGGTTTGAAACTGAAGCTGGGCGATAGCGACATGTAACAAAACAGCTGCTACTGATCCCGTTAATGGGGAGGCAATTTCAAGGCTGTCAGCCCCCCCACAACTCACCACAAAAACACAGACGATTTAGAGTAGGTCCCTTTAGTGTGCCAGCGAAAGCCAGCTGTGTTCTAAAGACAAAGTCAGATTGAAGAGTTGGCAACACAAATAAAATATATATTCTCAGTTAAGACAGTACAAACATCACACAAACATGCACATTCGGCAGTAGTCAGTTATATAATTCACAATATAACTTACAAAAAACAATTGAAACAATCAAATAAATTACACTACTAATGCAATCTCATGCATTTGTAGTGTAACACTCACACAAGCTCCAGTGCTGATCGTTGTCTTTCTCGTCAGTCTTCGATTCATTACATGCCTTCTCGGCAACACACTTCAAAACCTTTCACTGCTCGCTTGGCGTCATCATTCGATTATTCAAGATCAACTGGCTATACACAACCCACTTGATCAATATAAGTTTGTTCACTGGCTTCACCATCCTACTCATTCACTCAATCCCCACTCACTGCCTTGACACTCCGTTGCCGCCTGCTTATATCCCTTCGTGTCTTTATTTCTAAAGCTTCCAGGAGTCTCCTCTGCACGTGGCATAGTAAAAGCTAGGGAAAGGACGAAAGTCTTTCTCTTGTAACAGCGCTACTCGAATTCACATCATGCTTCCGTTTGTGATGTTCCGAAACTTTGCCTGGAACTTGATCCAAGACTGCTCGTTGTCGGCGGCTACTTCGAAAAAGAGGAACACTTGTGTTTGATATTTATTTTTTCCTTGCATGCGCTCTGCTGTGGCAAACTGTTGATGCCTGGGTTTAATGCTGTTGTTTGAAATTGATGACACGTGTTCAACTGAGCCCTCAATTGTGACAAAAGCCAATCACCTAGAAACAACCTAATTACAACAACAACGACCTAAAGCCAAGCAATGACCCAGAAGCACCCCCGAAAAAACACAACCAAGAGCCAAGCAGCTACCACAAAATAACATAGCATAACCTCATTGAATCCTACAAACAACCTCGAAGAAGCCTTTAAACAACCGAGCATCACCTAGCTAAAGCCTAGCAACAACTTACAAGCAACCAGACTAGACTTAGAATTGTCCAGCTGCACTGGTTCAAGCCTTGCGCGACTTTGTGCGAGCTCTGCCATTTTTTTCTCTCAGGATTGTGGGTTGATGTGGCCCTAATACGTTTTAATCATTTATGCCTACAAACTGACGGCAGATGACACTGGAGCACGTTGCATGCAACTAGCCCGGAATCTTTAATGGGGCCATGACACGACCATCTAATAATTTGGCATTTTCAACGAAAATAGAAGTAGCAGGTTAATGTTGGTACTCAAAAAATAGACTGCAAAAGAATATTATTCTGGTGCAAAATAAACCCTGAAGTTTCCACCTATAAACCTAAGCCACAGCCAGCGACCACCATTTTGCCATGATGAGTGTGACATCATGATCCGGATGGAGCGGAGCCACGTCTGTTACTGAATCAGCGACTTCCCCACATGTGGTCAGTGTGTTGTTGCTGCACCCAGTGGCATCATTTCAGTTGCAGCACATTGTTTAATTCCATTGGCAAGCTGAACAAAACTGAAATTCCTCGATTGCACGTGCAGCTGACAAACAACAAAATCTTATGCCGGAATTCAGATGTTCATGCAGCAAGCATCTTAAGTCACAGCTTGCAAGTGTGCCAGCATTGCTAGACTGTCAGGCCGCTCACGTTTTTTTTTTTTAATATTGAAGTACAGAGCAAGTGCACGAACAAATGTACCTAAATTTTGCCAGCTCGGTTGTGGACGCAGGAAGATTAACGTAACGTGCACAACACAGAGATTATGATAAAAAGTTGTTCGTCGTGGCCTGTGAACAGCAACGAAGTGGATGACAAGAAAACAAGCCACCTGTGATTATGTGGAAATATGTGTAGGCTTGCATTTATGTACTCCTTATGGAACAATGTCAACACAACCACAGAATTTTTCCCAGAGTTATTGATCGGCTTTGTATGGTCTTTTGTGAATAGAGTGCTGCCATGACATGAGGAGTGCATAAATGAGAGCCTATTCACAATAATAAATATTGCAGGAAGTCGACGCTCCTCTACGTCAGCTCTACCATTGTTATTGGCATGCGCACTATTCATTAAAGTACAACTAATCAATTGACCCTAGTCTCCGTTCCCTTGAAATATACGACCGTCTGATAGGTGTCTATACTTTAACTACACCAATACCGCTCTATAACGAAACACTGTGTAAACCGACTCAATGGTTATCAAAACACAAAGACAGTTTTTTGCCAACACTAGAAGTAAGAAATTTTGGTGACGCTAAAAAATCCTAGTTTCGGATAATGTCGATATGAAAGGGCTCCGTGCAAAAAGTTTATGCCGGAAATATAAACAGAAGCATCGTGGTAGAATAGGGAAAACAACCGTTTTAGATATTGAAGCTGAAAAAAGAAAGAAATGTCATCATTGCTAGTCGCACACAAATTATTCAAGCCAAGAGAATAAAGCAGAATCCGCAATTAATTGAAGTTGGCCTGTAAGCAAGCATTAGGACAAACTTTTTGTATCAGCATCTATACCAAAATAGAAGTCTAGACTACTGAACCAATTTATTACGAAAAATCTATGAACATTATGTCTGCAAGTGGCTTCACATAACCATAGCAAGACCCATGCATGCAGAAGCACTCGTACAGTACTCATGAATTGAGAAGAGACAGTTTAGTAATGTGCAAACTTTTGTTTCTATACTCTTCAGTTCGGGATATACCACCTTCAACACATAGGTAGATCAGAATCAACATTACCTTTAAAAGGCAGATTCATTGCGATATGACATGGTTACCTCGAGTAACTGCACGTACAAATTGCCACACTAAAATATCTGAAGTTGCACTTGAATTCATGAGTACTGTAGACTTGCATACAGCAGAAGGATGAAACACCTTGACAATTCAACCCCAAGAGCTAACTTGCTCATCATATTCTATCTGTAAAAACACACATGAAGTCAAGTTCACTATGTGTGCATTAGCATGTATAAAAAAGCTGTGACAAAGTAGGAACACTTACCTTGCTGCCAGTTTTTGAAGAGATCTCCTGGGCCGCCTTGTCTAGGACTTCTTGTTTCCTGTTTAAAACAATAGCACATACAAAACTTAGCACTGTGCATATAAGCATAATATTTTATATTATGCCAGGCCATAAAAACACAGAGCCCTCATTGCACCAAGAAAAAAAATTCTATTGAAGCGTGGGCATAAAAAGAAGACACCAACAAAAATTTAAGTGCTAAAGGCAAGCTATGTGCACTGTAAAAATTCTTACCATTTCACTCACAAGCAGAAATGATGCTGCATTGTTCTTGTAGAAGAGAACGCGATAACTTTGGATCAAGGTCTCTCTCAGAGAGCCTGAATGCCCTGAAAGTGAACCTGACAAACATCATTACACCCATTTTTCTGATATAAATTCATCATAGTGTTACATTAAAACATATTTTACGTAAAAACCGTACATCCACCAGGGCACATAGAAGCTAGAACTTTTGTCATATTTGGCACTTATGTCGAAGCTGCAGGGACTGGTAGTGGTGTAGATTTCTTGTTAGCTGCCTTCAATGAGCACCTAAGCTCACAACACACATATCTGGTGGTTTCTGCTATAATTCTGGTCCAGGCACGTCGCCACAGAGATTTTTCAGCACTGGCTTATCTGTAGTGAACTTACTAGACACATCTCATACCTCACCCCACTAACAGTGGTTTGGTGTGTTTTTGATTAAGGAGAAAACAGTGAATTTCACGTTGCACCTAACTACCCGATTATGATGCTTTAAGGACTTTAGATGATGCTTTAAGGACTTTAAGGACTTTATGATGCTTTAAGGACTTTAGAATGTGCCTAGCGGCACATTCTAAATTTATGTGTAAGGGAGTGCCAAGGAAACTGCACATTCTATGTCACACCCTTTGCATGAGTCCCTTCCAAGTGAATAGCTAACTATTTTTTTCCACCTTTGACATCCCAAACGCGTACTTTTGATAGCCTACTATGATGCTTCTGCATGTAGCACTGGTACAGCAGTGAAGTTAAAAAGTAGTCGAAATTCCCATGATCACTGGCAATACGCATAGGTTTCAATTGCACCTTCGTTTCTCACTCTTCATTTATGCCACGTATGTGAGCAAACATTACGGCTAACTGCAGTGCAGGAAAACCCGACCTATTTATGACTGTAATTCAAAAAAATCTTGCAGCGCTTAGACAATATTTGCCACCAAATCACATTTAAGACAAGCCTAGATGCATCAGCACTACTCGCGGAGACACTGCAGGCAATAATAAATCTGCTCTGTTGGCAGCAGTAAAACTCCATGCAGACGATACTACAGGAAGCTATTCAATCTTTATTAAGGCCAGACAATCACAATATACATGGGATACTGGTGCCCCACACAGACAGCCCTGATCCATGTTCCAGCAATGAAACATTTACGAATCGTAGAAATGACGCTCATAATGAGACGTCAAGGGACACGAAATACAAGGCTGAAAGAATAGTCTTATGTAGTCCTACCATTGAATAATCTCACGGTGAGAATAGTCTTATTATAAAATAATCTCACGATAAGAATAGTCTTACCATTGCAGCAGTAACATAAAGAATCACATGAACGACAAAGGCAAGAGAGAACACAGCACCATGTTATCATGTATCTCTCTCATCCAAATATGTCCCTATACCATCTAAGTTCAGTATGATGACTTCAAGCCAAAGGATGATAATTAGGTAAGCATTTGTCCTCATCAAAGACAAAAATGTGACCCTGTGTAGTCAAGCAGAGTTGACAAGTTGATATACCTGCTCATTATAGCGACGCTGGCGCCAAGCTGTGCAAACATCTCGGTCATCCCCTTGCCAATCCCAGTGCCCCCGCCAGTGATAATTGCAACCTTGTTTTTGAAGCTGCCAGGTGGTAGCATCGGTGTCATAACAGGTGGAAACAGCTTTTTCGCTGTGCAGTAGTGGCGAAAGCGTGGCAACCTGTTCTGGGAGAAAGTCAATATGTAGCGGCGATTAGCTACAGCTGAATGACATTAAGCCCACATTACACAAGCCATGACAAAAGTACGAAATGCAAACTGCCTTTTACTAGTAAAGAAGTGGAGATGAAAAGGCTTCTCTTTGTTAATTTTTATTAAAAGCTTTTTTAAGTGAACAAAGTTAAAACCCTAAGGGTTATTTTTAAAAAATTACCATAATAGCTAAACTTTTGGTGGATTAAATGTCCGAGTAACCTATTAAAAACATGGAAACGAATCTGGAAAGACTGTACGTCTAAATCTCATTGTTTATTTATAATTACTAGTCTGTATGCATGCTTGTATAGAATTTATTTTAAAAACACGTTTTGATGGTCTGCGTTCAGAAGAAGCCATTCAGAAAATGATAGAATGCCCATGATTGATTGACGTGTGGGGCTTAACGTCCCATAACCACCATACGATTACAAGAGACGCAACCAAATGCCCATGATGAGGTGAAGTTGTTAGTCATTAAGTGACAATCTTCATAGAGAAGTTGTTAAGAATCAGTGAGCATTTTGGAAATTTTTGCAATAAAAACGATCATTTCAACAAGGAATCAGTATAATCACAGTTCCTGTGACCTACTGGTTGTTTAATTGTTGAAATGATTTACCTATTTTTGTACCGATATACACCAAATCACCAAATAAGAATTGGAGAATGGCAAACATGGCAACTCAAGGTCACTTCTAGGACAGGAGTAATGCCTTTCGCGAAATTTCCAGTTAAATTTTTAATCTTTCGGAGTTAGAATTACATTATGAGATTTGTATAACCTTCTGCTTGATGCTTTCTGCTATGCAATTTCGGCTAAATCGCAATATGACGAGCTGTAACATGAGCTCCTTTCACACTGTGAATAACTTGCACAGCAGCATCACCACCCCTATGAATGATTTTAGTTCGTTTAAGCTTCAAAAAAGCTGTGTAATTTGTTTTGAGAAGTCCTCAAGAAAGTAAAATGGCTGATAATCTAAGCGAAAAAGCCTTAAACAGTTTGTTTTCTCTCCAGGTCGAAGCAAAAGTAGAAACAGTCAAACAAGATCGAGCTGCGCATGATTCAGCCACATAGCTTGAAAATGCGGACGAAGTGACATCCAGATCACATGGCTACTTCATAATCGTGATGGTTCATGATCAATAAAGCCCTCGCACACCACTCTTTCACGAATCAACCTCAACCTTGAAATGATACCGGCGTCACACGGGCACTTCTGATCGCGATCAAGAAATCCGATACCGATCAGCCTTGATCGCGGTCAAAATATGTGCCCGTGAGTAATAGGTGGCCGTTCAAGCACTGAAGTTACATTTTAATACAGACAGCTTTAGTGATATAAACGTGGCTACTAAAAGTGTGAAGTAGCGTGTCTGAATCGGGCTCACAGACTGAACTACCTGTTAGCTCAACCAGATTTCCCATAGGTCAGATAAGGATGTGCAACATTGGGACTTTCAAAGCGGTACGGCTTGATAATGACGAGCTTTAAGGACGCCTAATAGTAGAAGAACTGGTGGTTGGTGACGTGTACAAATTGAACGCTGAAAGTCGTAAAATCAATCTTGAACGACTCACCATTTTGAGTGGATCCGAACAGTCGAAGTTTCACAACGTACTCAACTGTAAAAACACTGGCAGTAGCTTCAACAAGAGCAAAACGCAAGGTTCAAAACCCATGCACTACTAAAGCAACATGAAACAACTTTACAAGGAGAAATACGGGACTTTATAACCACACCCCTGCCTTGCTGCGGTAAACAAGTAATCACGAAGGACTGACAGCAAAGAAGAAAACAAATTCGAAACCGAAACTGCTGAACTCATCACTGCCTTCAGTGCCATTCGCAATTATGTGTTTCATTCGAATCAGTTTTGTTCTGCATTTGTGTTGACTTTGAAATCAAAACGCGCCCTAATTACCACAATATATTGCTTTAAATTGTGCTTTACAATGTCTTATTTTTCACGTTTCTGCAAGGTTTGTCTCTCATTTGCACACCATGGTCTATAGGTCCGTTCGATTCGCCTGCACCACGTGAACCAGTTCACGAGGTGCTGCACCTTACCATTCGTTTCAGCGGTGCAGCATTGACGACCGCTGAACCCTGCCATTCGTTTCGAAAGATGCAGAAGAGGTACAGCACCGGTTCACAATTTTCCTGCACCTCCTTCGCTGATGGTGCCGGCTTGGTGCAGGCGCGCGTGCAGCTGAGCAGACAACACAGCACTTAGACGTAGGTGGCTTAGGCGCCGTACCCGCCTCTACAAATGCGGTGTGTTTTGCCAAGATGTTTGCGCCTCATAAACTGTCCGCAAGTGCGTTTCGCCATAGGTCGGTGTTTGCTGAATGGTGTAAATTAACCGAAAAGAAATAAGGCCAACACCTTGTCGGCACACAGTCATTTGTTTCGGGTGTCGTGCTGTGCCTGCACCGCTGAACTCACGCTGCACAATTTCTGAACTTCGCGTGCACAGCCGTGAACCGGTTCCGACCGGTGCAGGTGAATCGAACGGACCTAGTGTCACAAAAGTACAGTTAGGGTGGCTAGCCACCCTAGGGCAGTGGCTAGAATAGGAAAGTGTGATGAGTGGCAAGCAGCGCTTACCGAGCGCACTGAAGCCTCTGAAGAGGAGCCGCGCGGGGCGCGCGCAGTCGTTTATACGTTAAGCAGGAGTGCAAGGAACATTTATGGCTAAAAGGGAAAGTGGCAGGTCAAATGACACTCCTTGCTTTCGTGTACTTGTGGACAGGAGCAAAGGCCAGATAGGAAAACCAGGCAATGGTAGAGTGTATATCAAAGGACATTCAGCAGTTAGGAAGAGAGTGCGAGATAATTATACTAGGCGACATGAATGCGCACAAAGAAGATATAGATGGGCATACCGACCCGACAGGCAAAATGATCATGGGTATGTATGAAAGGCTTGATTTGATCATTTGCAACAGTACCGAGAAGTGTGAAGGGCAAATAACATGGGAGGTAGGAAGGCTTCGGTCGACGATAGAATATGCACTGATGTCACATAGGATGTATGATAAGCTCAGGGGAATGCACATAGATGAAGGTGGCTCCAGAAGTCTGGGTAGCGATCACAAACGTATCAAGCTAAGTTTTGGAAGAGCAGTGAAAGTGGGAAGGAGACAAGATGAGCAACTACAGGAAAATTTGTATCCAGCAAGGCAAATTGAAATAGCCACTAAAGAAATTGAGAAAGTAATCACGGAGGATAATAAGACAGTGTGGACATACACGAATCTAATTAGACTCTTTGAGCTAGAGCTTGCTAAGACGCGTGACAAGTCACCCCGAAAAGAAGACACAAACCCAAAAGTTGGTGGGATGAGGAAGTTAAGAGAGCCATAGCAAAACGTCAGGAAGCCTCTAGGGAACACAGACATGCTAAGCAGCGGGGTGAACCGACAGATGATGTTGAAAGAAAATGGGCAACCTTTCTAAGCTGTAGAAGGAATGCGTCCCTTCTGATCAATGAAAAAGTTAGAAGGAAGGGAGCTCAGTGGCTGGCAGAAGTACATAAATGAGATAGAAAGGCAGCTGCGAAGTTTTGGAACCATCTAAACTCCCTAAGAAATGACACGAGCCTAGAGCAGAGTTTTATCACTACAGCCCAAGGTGCTAGGCTAGAAGGGGACGAAGCTATTGAATATATAAGAACAAGGGTGACAGAAAATTTCAACAAAGAAGTACTTTATGCACCACAATAGACAAGGACGAATAAAGTGGTGCAATGGCTCCATTTTCACAACAAGAGTGGGAAAGGGCTGAGAAAAGGGTTCCTAGTAGTACATCAACAGGCCCAGATGGCATTCCAATTAGGCTGATAAAGACATTAGGTCCGAAGTCTAAGCAGGCTTTCAGAGAGGCAGTGAGCACAATAATAATCGATGGTGAAGTTCCCGATGGATGGAAACTTAGCAGGATGAGCATGATCTATAAAGGAAAGGGGGACAAAGCTGACATAAACAACTACCGTCCTATAACAGTGACATCAGTGGTCTACAGGCTGGCGATGCAGATTATAAAGGAAAGATAGAGGATGAGGGGATGCTGGGGGAACTGCAGAATGGGTTTCGGAAACACAGGAGGTTGGAAGACAATCTGTTCTCACTGACGCAGTGCATCGAAATAGCATAAAAGGAACACAGGCCCCTGTGGCTAGCATTTTTGGATATCAAGGGAGCGTACGATAGCGTGGTTCAAGAGGAATTGTGGGGAATACTGGACAAACTAGGCGTGGAACATGTAGTCACTAATCTTCTAAAGGGTATCTATAAAGGTAACAAGGTAGTTATAAAGTGGGAAAAACAGGTATCCAAGCCTGCAGAGGTGAAACGGGGGCTTAGGCAGGGGTGTCCCCTGTCACCCTTATTATTCATGATGTGCCTACAAGGATTAGAGGCAAAATTAGAGGGAAGTGGACTGGGCTTCAACCTCTTTTTAGTCAAACAAGAAAAACTTATTGATCAGGCACTACCAGCATTAATGTACGCAGATGATATAGTGCTAATGGCCAACAACAAGGAAGATTTGCAGAGATTGATGGACATCTGCGGTAATGAGGGAGATAGGTTAGATTTTAGATTAAGTAAGGAAAAATTAGCAGTCATGGTTTTCAATGACAACGAAGGTAGTGAGCTTAGAATACAGGAGGTCACGCTAGAGATAACAGATAAATACAAATATCTGGGCGTATGGATAAGCAATGGGACCGAGTACCTGAGGGATCACGAAATATACGTGACGACTAAAGGTAACAGAAATGCAGCAGTCATGAAAAATAGGGCACTGTGGAATTACAATAGGTATGATGTTGTGAGAGGAATATGGAAAGGGGTCATGGTTCCTGGGCTGACGTTCGGCAATGCGGTATTGTGCATGATATCAGAAGTTCAAGCAAGATTAGAAATTAAGCAACGTGGAATACGTAGGCTTGCTTTAGGAGCTCACGGGAATACACCAAATCAGGGAGTACAAGGTGATATGGAATGGACATCATTTGAGGGCAGGGAAGCTAGCAGCAAGATAAAATATGAGAAGCGATTGAGAGAAATGAAGGAGGAGCGTTGGGCTAGGAAGGTTTTCAGTTACTTGTACATGAAGAATGTCGATACAAAATGGAGGAAGCGAACCAGGAAGTTGACTGGTAAATACTTAGAAAACAGCAGGTGGCCAAACCAAAAAGAACTATCGGTTAAGAAGAAAGTGAAGGAAACGGAGACTGACATGTGGAGAATGGGCATGATTAAGAAGTCCGCACTAGAGATCTATCAAACTTTTAAGCAGGAAATTGCCAAGAAAAGGATCTATGATAATACTCGGGGTAGTTCTCAACTGTTTGAGGCAAGGACGGGAGTACTGCGAACCAAGACATATCGGGCCAAATACGAAGGGGTAGACACAGTGTGCAGTGCGTGTGGAGAAGAAGAAACTGCCGAACACTTGATAATGTTCTGTGAAGGGCTCCACCCTATAGTTCAGGATGGTGGCGCAGAGTTTTTCAAAGCACTGGGTTTTAGGGACCGGGAGGGCAAAATAGACTTTAAGCAAGTAGACTTAACTAGAAGGAGGTTATCTGATTGGTGGCTAAAGTCAAGGCACGAGTGAAAATTAAACTCTTCACTGCAAAGTGCGAATCCTCAAACTCACTTTTTAAGGAAAAAAATATACTTTTGGGTTCATTAAGTATTACGACTTGGTGGCGCTAGCCGCCGCCCGATCTAAAGGGTATAGCCATATCCATCCATCCATCCTATGGGAGCTGCAACACATGGTGCTTCAACGAGCATGGGAATGATGGGTAGTACACACATTTGTCTAATTTTCGTACTTCTGGCCTGCTTCTGGCTCCGTGTGTGTTCGTGTGGCTCGGAGCTGTTTTCTTACGAAACAAGTATTAGCAAATGTTCACCGTTTGTGCTTCACAACCTTATTCTTTTAAGCTTACTATTTCGAATCAAATCCCTAAGTTCAAAAAGGTTTGTTCTTTCTTTCAAAACAAAACCGAAATACAGCAATAAACAAAGCCGCGAGTACGATTCGCCGCCCGCAAGTACGAAGACTAGGCAAATGTGTGTACTACTCTACCCATCATTCCCATGGTCGCTGAACGATCGCAGCGCCAGAGTGCCCTCCAGTTAATTTTGAGCAACTCTATGCTCTTGCGGTGTCTTACCCTTGAAGTGGTTCTTGAGAGAAAGGAAGAGAAAAGTGAGCCCCGTTATTGTCTGCTTCAGTGAGCGACACCGCCACAGAGCTCACAAAGGGATGGGGGTAAGGAGGGATAAAAGGGTAGAAGTAAAGGTATAGGAAAGAGGAAGAAGAAGCAACAACAAACTGAGGGGATAGGAGAGACAGGAAAGATGGAAGAACGGTCACTGGAGTCCGAGGACGGGGTACACTTGCGAGAGATGTTCTCGGCGTCTGTAGATGGCGTAGAGCAGGACCAGTAAATCAGAGCTGCGCTGTCGTCGAAGGTCGTCGGCGACAGGAGATGACGTAGGGCGAGCCCAGTCGGCCAGAGCTACGATGACGCCGAAGGTCGCGAGCGCGCGGGCGCACAACCGGTCGGCACGAAATCCAGGGAGCGTCTCTCGACGGAGCGAAACTGCGCTCCTCGTGTCTTACCCTTACTACAGTGTACTACAGGTTTTCCCGCTCAATTTAATCCAAGCGCCAGCCAAATTAATCTAGGCGCCAGTCAATTTAATCCAGCCACCACTGAAATTAATCCAGGTGCCATTCATTTTAATCCAAGT